TATAAGGGCGCATTTTCTCCATTCAGCATAATTTCAAGAGGAATAGCACGGGTTTTCTCTGTGCTGGGGTCAATAAAGCCCTCAACAGGACCTTTAGGATCTCCTATTTGGACTACAAAGTCATCCGCTACACAAGAAAAAACAGGAGTATCTATAAGTTTCAAGAAATTATAATAGACAAAAAAAAGGGTAAACCATCAACACATTTTAAAATCCCTTGAACACATATATACAAATATCTATGCTCATCACAAATTTGAGCTGCAAAATTATCCTAATAAAGATTATTTTGGAGTTTACTCTTTCGACAGAATCAAAGGCCTTCACAGCAGCAACCTTGAGACTTTCGGTAATATAAACACCACACAACACGATATCCAGAACCAGGTTTCAGGAAATATGACAGATTCTGAAACCCCTTAATGGATCTCAGCTGAAATAACCTGGAATATTTATAGTTATAAAGAGAGTTAATAAGGCAATGAACCGAACCGAACCGAACCAAACAGAGCAAAAATGTTACGTACGCGAATCTAGTACTTCAGATCTCTGTTAAATAAACAACCTTATAAAGATGAATATCTTAAACCCAAAATCTTCATTCAAAATCTCAGATCTGAATGTTGAAACCCTGTCATTTATATACAATTTATAAACATGAGCCAAACATAAGCTTTGTTATTGGACAGAGGAGCAATTCTTAAGTGCTAAATTATGATTACTTGTACAAATTTAAGGAAGAATTAAATTATTGAAGTTCTAACTCCGTTACAATATAGATATATTAACAATTCGTCTGAAATAAGAGTTTGTGCTTGAAACTCAACATTAATATTGTGACTTACAGGTCATTCTTTAGGTTACTTCTAATTATATTACCTTCTTCTACTATTATCCTTTAGCATAGTTTAAATTCTAATTCTTCTTCAGACAATACTTGTTAATTCTAATTAGTCAAGTTTTGACTTCTATACACAGGTCAATGGACTTAAAACTCAATTTTATTTCTAATATAGCATTTGAATTTCAAAAGCATACAAAAAATGTG